GTACTCTGAGGTGTAGGGCAGGGTGGGTTCCCTCTTGGCACTGATCTTGAGTATCCATTCACCAACCAGCACATCCAGCTCACATGTGTTGTTGAGTTGGACACAGTGAACATGGATGGATGGTGGAAATGAGGCAGCGATCACATGCAGGGCAGCCTGAATGGCCATGGAGGTCTTGTTGGGCAGGGGACACATGAAGTGCATCCTGGAGTATGAGTTGGTGACAGTGAGCAGATATATATGCCCACCAGCTGACTGGTGCCGCATGGGTCCAATCAGGGAGGGAGAGCAGGTCGCCAGGGCAGGCCCCGTGTATGGCGTGGTTGGTGTGTGGCACCTGACTGACACTACACACAGTCTGCTTGCCGGCGAGGCAGACGTTGCAGTGCAGTGAGAGCTTGGAGGAGAGGGCTGTGCGCTTCTCATGCTCACCAAAGTCAGCAGACTGATGGATGAACTTGTGGCATTGCTCCTTGCTGACGTGACCGAGTCTGTGATGGATGAGGTTGAGACACAGCAGTGTGGAGCTCACCATGAGTGCGGCTGGCGTGGAGGCATCAGTGGCAGGAATGAAGGTAATGGTGAAGTAGTAGAGATTGCCACTTTGGTAGCTGAAGAGGTGTAGCTGCTCATTGAGGTAGAACAGGAAACCATTCTGCTGATCAAACACAATGCGACAGCCAGAGTTGAGAAGTTGCTGAGGCGAGATCAGTGTGTGCAATGCACTGGGCACAAATGCAACATTGCACATGACAATGCTGCTGGGCACACCATTGACAGTGGTGGTGCCACACAGAGTGCCATGCCCCAGGCATTCAATGTAGCCACCATCAGCACACACAAGCCTCAATGGCACAGCAAGTGGGATGAAGTCATGCAGTAGGTCCCTTCAGTTGGTGGTGTGCTGCATGGCACCTGTGTCAGCAATGGTGGGGAGATCCACTGGAGCGACAAGAGAGAAGACCAAGTAGTTCAGGAACAGTTTATTGATGGGTGTCAGCTCCAAGAAGGCCACAGCAGTACCAGCAACTGACTCACTGACAATAGCAAAGTCACTAGGGCGCACTGCAGCAGCAGCAGCAGTCATAGCAGCAAGCACAGATGACTGCAGTGCATGGGGTGGCAGTGCAGCAGCAGCAGCAACAGCTGCAGCAGTCATGGCAGCAAGGGCAGCAGTGTGTGTAGTTGGTGGTGCAGCCCAAGCTGGGGCTGCAATGAGGCCTCAAGTGGCAGCCTCATGGCACTCCTCTGCATGGCATGTTTGCACTGCATGCTCTGCAATGGAACCTGGCTGGATCACACCTGCACTACCAACACAACAACTGGAGTGGCAACAAGGGGAAGTGGTGTTCCCTACACAACTTGAATGGCCATTTCAGGGCCAGAAGTGGCATGGTGCAAGGCCTCAACACAGTCAAGCGCCTTGAGGACAGCGTCCATGGGCATGTCATCCAAGAGTGCATTGAACTGGGCTTCAAACACAGGGTTGATGCTCTTGAGGGCAGTGGCAAGGATGACAAGTCAACTCCATTCCAACATCTTGTGTCCTTCAGTCTCAGCAGCAAGCACATTGACAAGCACTTGGATTCACACCCAGATTGAGTGTACCATGTCACCCACACAGACAAGGTAGATATCAGGCTTGCCAAGATCACACCAGGCAGTCTGGAGAGCAACATCATTGTTGCCATAACAGTTGTTGATCACTTTCCAGAGGGCGATGGGGCAGCCATTGCTCATACCTGAGATGTGCTCAAGGAGCTCTGGCACAATGGTGCTGCAGATGAAGACAAAAGTCTTCTGATGCCCCTTACATAGCTCTCACACAGACTTGAGGGATGCTGCATCACCAATGAGGGCTGTGATCTGCATCTTCCTGGTGTCATCCAATTTCGCCTTGGTGGCTGATGATTTCTCTCCAGAGATGGACCCTGACAAGATCAATATTGTTGACATGATGGCAAGGGATTTGAACAGATGTGCTGTGTGTTCAGCGTCATAGTCATCTACAGCCTGAACAATAGTGGTGTAGTTGGTGGTGATGTATTGTGTACATCCTTGTTCATGAAGAGTGAGGTGTACAGTTCTATTCCACTTGGTGAATGATGACTGGTTGTGAAGGGGTATGACTTGTAGACTGTTGATGTTGGTGTTGGTGTTGATACTCATGATGTGGGTGAGTGTAGTTGAGAGTAATGCTAGATGTAGTGTGGGCCCATAACCTGTTGGAAAGGTGTAGTGTGATATAAGGCTGAGAAGCCGTGGAGATGTGTAGATGTCTGAGGAGAGAAGAGTCATGTATTCAGGAGATCTGAAGTGGTACAAGTATAGTAAACTATGGAAATGAATAAGAAGAAAGAAAAGAGTAAGGATTGAGAAAGTGTAGAGAAAAGATGGAGATGGTGAATGTCCAACAGAGTAGTAGGCGACTGAGCAGGTGAGCTTTGCCGCTGACTGGAGGGCCAAGCAAAACCGCCTGTGCATACGCCACAACATAATTGGTGGGTTGGGAAAACAAAGAGATATGGGGGGGTATACTTCTACGTGCGGCACGTTCGACTGTTCGTCTGCTTGCTCCATTCGATGATTCAAAATGAAAATAAAATGAAAATAAATAAAAAAAAATAAATAGGTAGTCCAGTCGTCAAGGCTGAAGAGGCAGACGTGACCGCCAGTCGGCTGGCAAACCATCGTCGCCGTTGTTGAGCTGCTTCCACGGCACGGTGTCGGGAGGCGACGGCGGCCGCCGATGGCTGCCTAGGCAGAGCAGCAGCATGCGCACCATCTCGCGAGGCAACTGGCCCAGTGACGTCGGTCGGGGTTCCTTCTTCCTCTCTGCGTCATCTATGCCCTCCTCATTGTTGAGCCTCTGAAGCCGACAGGCGACTAGCAGGGTACTGCGCACCTCACTTAGCAGCTGATGGCGGGAAGCCACAGTCAGTCAGTGAAGCCAGATCGACAATAACGAATGGTGTCTGGTAGGAACCGTTTCGTCGACAGCGACGAGGCGCCCAAGGTGGGCCATGCTCGAGCATCGTTGGCCGCAGTCGACGTAGGCGCGTTCGCGATAGATGCGACCCTTGCCGGTGGCGTAGTATTGCGTCCACAGCCGCGCCGTATTGGCCGCCCACTCCTCCCCTCGGCTCTCCCATTCCTCCACGACGGGTGCCATCTGCGCATCTGGTCAGCTCTCTCG